ACGTATTAGAGGTCGAGATTAAGGAGGAGTTCAGGTAGAGGATGTAGTTCTGGTCCAAGAAAATGTACATAGTGTGATATAGGACATACCATCAATTATTGTTATGATTTGCATGGCCCACCTTCAACTTGGGAAAATCATGTGGTGATTAGTGATAGCAGTTCCAGACAGGAGGGTCATCAAACTGATCAAATTCCCTTTATATCTACAGATGTTCCTAGGAAGGAGATGATGAGTGTTCCACGTGATGAGAATGAAAGATTTGTTCAGGCCACATCTCAACAGAATACAACCACTCTTGCACACTCAGGTATGACTTGCTTGGCATCCAAACTCAACTGCTGAATTATTGACTCTGGAGCCTCCGATCACATGACTGAAACTCCATGTGTGTTTTCCTCCCTTTCTTAATGCCCGACATCACACTTTGTTACCCTTGCTAATGGTTCCACATCTTCCATTTGTGGTGTTGGTAATGTTAACATAGACCTTTTATCTTTACCATCAATTTTGTATGTTCTCAAATTTTCTTTTAATCTTATGTCTATTAGTAAGTTGACCAAGTCCTTTAATTGCTCTCACTTTTTACCCTTTTTCTTGTGTTTTTCAAAATCTCAAGATGGGGATGAAGATTAGTGGAGGGCATGAAGCTGGTGGACTGCATTATCTTGATGGTGGTGGTATTACGTTAATAGCTCTTCAAACATCCCTTTCTCATCTTCAATGGCAATGTAGATTTGGTCATCCATCACTTAAAGTTTTGAATTCTCTTGTTCCTTCGTTGAGTCATGTTTCTATTTTGGATTGTGAGTCATGTCAATTGGAAAAACATCATGTGTTCCCTATAATCGTAGGATTGATAATCATATATCGAGTCATTTTTTCTTTTCATTCAGATGTTTGGGGTCTAAATAAAACAATGTCATACAATGATTATAAATACTTTGTTATTTTTGTTGATGATTATTCAAGGTGAAAGAAATGAGTGATTTTTTTTTTATTTTTCAAAAATTTTATGCAAAAATTCGCAACTAATTTAGTGTACACATTAAGATTCTCCGTTCTTATAATGGTCATGAATACTTTTATACACCATTTCAGGAGTATTTAGAACAACATGACATTATCCATCAAACTTCATGTACCTACACCACCCCACAACAAAATGGGGTAACTGAGAGAAAGAACCGTCACCTTTCGGAAACTACTCGATCCCTTATGCACCATATGAATGTACCCAAACATTTTTTGAGTTATATTGTGCTTACATCTTGCTTTCTAATTAATTGGATCCCCCACGCCCATCCTTGAAGGCCATTCTCCCTTCACCACTTTGTTTCTTACCTTGTCTCTGTTTCCCCTTACTCTTCGGGTTTTTGGATGTGTCTATTTTGTTCATAATCTTGGATCGAGAAGGGACAAGTTAGATGCACGATGCATTAAGTGTATTTTCCTTGGATATTCGTGGACCTAGAAAGGATACAAGTGTTATAACTCTATCTTCCGACGTTCCTTTGTGTATGCTGATGTTACTTTCTTTGAGTCCACTCCATTTTTCTCGAAGTCAGGTGATGTTTCTTCTTCCTCATCACCTCCTCCTCTTCTAGTCCCAATTGAGAACTCCATTCCACTTGTTCCAGTTGTGATCAAGTATTTGCCTCCGGTGCAACTTCTTGTTGAATGGCCACCTATTCGTCAAGTGTACATACATCAATATGTATCTGTTTCTCCTTCAATTCCATCACCGTCAACAGATCCGACAATTGTTCCCACATCATCTACAACCCTATTTTTTGACATTGATCTTTCGATTGCCTTGTAGAAAGGTAAACATAATTGCACACTTCATCATATTTCTAATTATGTTTTTATCACTCATCTTTCTACTTTCCATCACTAGTTTATTTCCTTATCTTCTATTATTGTTCCTATGGATGTCTAGGAAGCCCTTGCCTCTCCAAGGTGGTGCCATGCAATGGAAGAAGAACTCTCCGCCTTAACTCATAATCATACGTGGGATCTCACCACACTTCCTCCTAGTAAGCACGTTGTCAGTTATAAGTGGGTATACATTATTAAGTATTTACTTGATGGTTGTGTAAAGCGATTAAAAGCTAGATTGATCGCCAAAGGGTATTCCCAAACATATGGTATGGACTACACATAGACCTCTCTTGTTGTTAAAATTGGTTCAATCTGTGTTGTGATATCTCTAGCTACTATATATGATTGACCTCTCTTTCAGCTTGACATCAAGAATGCTTTCTTACATGGTGATCTACTTGAGGAAGACTATATGGAGCAACCATCGAGGTTTGTTGCTAAGGGGGAATATGGTAAAGTGTGCAAACTAAAGAAAGCCATTTATGGACTTAAATAGTCTCCTCATGCATGGTTTGGTAGATCTAGTGAAGTGGTAAAGAAGTTTGGTATAAAACAGTGTCAGGTTGACCACTCAGCCTTCAGCCATGATTCATAGGCTAGAAAGATCTTATTGGAAGTATATCTAGATGATATTATCATTATCAAGAGTGATAGATTGGAAATTGATAAGTTGAAGACAGTTTTGCAGGAACAATTTCAAACAAAGGACCTTGGTAAATTAAAATACTTATTGGGGATAGAAGTAGCAAGGTCTAAGCATGACATTACTTTGTGTCAGAGGAAATATGTTCTTAATTTGTTGGAAGAAACAAGATTATTATGTGCCAAACCAACTAAAACACCTATAGAATCAAATACCAAACTGAGCAGTGATATGGGTGAAGAGTTTGAAGATCCTAAAAGATACAGGTGGTTGATGGATAAACTAAACTACCTAACCATTACCCGACCAGATATTTCATTTGTAGCTAGTGTGGTGAGTCAATTCATGTAGAAACCTTGTGTTCCACATTGGGATGCAATTCTAAGAATTATAAAGTATTTGAAGGAAGATCCTGTTTGTGACTTGATATATAAAAGCGGAGGAAATATCGAAATAGAGGGATATATTGATGTTGATTATGTTGGTTTTGTATTTAACATAAGATTCACTACAAGTTATCGTACTTTCCTTGGGGGTAATCTGGTGACATGGAAAAGTAAGAAACAGATAGTTATGGAAAGAAGCAGTGTAAAAGCCGAATATAAAGCCATGGCACATACCACTTGTGAATTAGTGCGGTTGAAAAATCTTCTACAGGAGATGGGATATTCAATTGACACTCCAATGAAGCTTTATTGTGATAACCAAGTTGTAGTCCACATCTCTTCTAATCTGGTATTTCATGAGAGAACAAAGCATATAGAAGTTGACTGTCACTTTGTGAGAGAGAGTGCTGAGTAGAGTGATAGATACTGCATATGTTAACACAACAAATCAATGGGTAAACCTATTCACTAAAGGGTTGAATTGGGGGAGAGTAGACTACATGTGTAACAAGTTAGGACTATATGATATATACTCACCAGCTTGAGGGCGAGTGTTAGTGTCGACTGTGTAAGGGTATTTTTAGTCTTTAGTTTGAACCGGAATTTTCTTCCTCTCTATTCTCTTCTCTTTTCTTCTTCTACTTCTTCTAGTCTCCCTAATATTTCTTCAACTCTGATTCTAATAGAATTCTAGTGCAAATCAGGTTTATAATAATAACTAAGGGAAGTATGGTTAGCGAAGGGAGACAAAAATACCAAATTCTTCCATCAAACAAAAATATAAGAGATGAAGACAAGAAATAAGTTGTATTAAAATTCAATCAGGTCAATGGTCTACTACCAAAATTGACATGCTCATTCAAGGATCTTCTTGAACATGGTAATGAAGAGGACATACAATCTTGACACCACCTACTTTTGAGATAAATAACACTAATTTTGATACATTTTGGGAGGATATATACAATCTTGTGCTTCAATTCTTCCATACAGGAAGTGTTGAGAAAGAATGAATTTCCCTAACAAGTGGATTACTATGGTGGCTCAATGTATAGAATCTCCAACATTCGCGATTAAGCTGGGAGAGAAAGTTATGGGTTACTTCAAACTTAAACTTAAAAGAGGTTTACAACAAGGAGATGCACTTTCCCCTTATTTATAATTGGTATGGAAGCTCTTACCCAATTGCTGAACAATGAAATAGTTGTAAGGAACATGAAAGATTCAAATAAGTCACTTGTTATTTGTACATGATTGTATTCTTTTTTGCTGAGCAAAACTTAAACAAGTAAAGAGACTCATAGAGACAATTGTAGGGTTTCAACAAATCTCTAGACAAAGGGTAAAATTTGTCAAGTCAAGCATTGCTTTAAGTAAAAATGTTCATAAAACAACACCAAGAATTTCTCTCTAAAGTGGTTGACATTCATTATTCCAAGGATATACACACCTACTTGGGTGCCAAGTAATGGCGAGCTAAGAGTGTTTCAGCAGATCATAGAAACTTGGTTGAAAGAATTCAAGTAAAAACAAATATTTGAAAAGGAAATTTACTTTCGCAAGCAGCCCATACAACACTTACAAAAGTAGTGGCACAAGTCCCTCTTTAGACTATGTTCACCACAATGCTTTCAAGATAGTAACTAATACAATTAACAAAGTTCAGAGAACTTTTTGTGGCAAGGGTCATCCATTAGCAACACTCTACACAGTCTCAAGGGCTAAATTTTGCTTGCCAAAACCAAGAGGTGATCTAGGTTTCTAAGATACTTGAAGAACAAGGCAATGTTTAGGAAGCAAATATAGAGATTGGAGAGTAATTCTGATCCTCCAATACGATACATATTGGAGATTGGAGAGTAATATCATATCGGGAAGGCTCCAATATGATTTGTATCAGCCAATACGGGTCGATACATGACGAAATTTTGATCCCTGCATGACACAGAACTCCATGCAGTTATCAAGGGATTGGATGCTGCTATAGAGTTGCAATGCCAATTGATGCAAATTTTCTTTGATGATGAAGTAATAGTACATGGATTGATCAAGTGCATTTTGAGCAGATTTCACACCTCCAAGGCCAGTTTAGAGACTTAAATTCATCTATATATCCAGAACTAAGAACATACAAGCTCATCTATTGGCTTATTATGCTTATAAACATCAAAGGCACTCTACTATGGACATGCTACCTTGTACAACTTTATCATATAATATATTATCAACTCTTTTTTATGAAAGAACAGGGGGGAAACTGAAATGATAACAAGGGAAATGACCTTATTCTCCACCTCTTGGCGGTGGTTTCATCCAACTTTTACCTGTCTGCTCTTTGGTTGCCTCTTTCACAGGCCAACCTGGAAATTACACCCTTCCATTAATGCCATATGCTTTATTATGTTCTTAAAGAGAAAACAACCAAAACCTTGGCTTCCTCTGCTTTGGTTTGTAAGTAATTTTGCTCAAGCTTTCTTCCAAAAGATGGAACGTTGACAAGGCTGAGCGAAAGGAGAAATCTGATAACGCTGTGGAACTTCTATAGTAAGGCCTAGCAAAAAAAGGACTTACTAATATCTATACGATAGCATAAGTTACTCGTATAAGGAGAGACAATTATGGATATTTGATTTGTATCCAAATAGAGACTACTAATCAGACTATTACCAAAAGAACTTTTCCTCTTAATAAAGGATCCATCTTATGTTTTCTCAATCAATTGCCTTGGGAAATGAGGTAGAGGACCCAGAAAAAATATGTCCTCTCTGATATGAAGTCCTGTTGTGTTGTGATTCCTTGTGAACAAGGGGATCAGATGTCCGGTTCACATGAGTATTGATCCCATTACAAGCTTGCTTTTCTCTGTAGGACGCCCAGGTGACCATATAAAGTCCAGCAATAATCAGAGAACCCCCCAGAATGCTGTTCAACCATGGAAACATCAAAAAGTTAGCTTCAGTTACTCCCATACAACTATGATGTATACAACTAAGATGGTTTAGAAAAACGGAACTGTTTCACCAAATGTTAACCAAAACTGGCTTACAACACAACAATAAGAGCAACATGGTATTTCTACTCCGCTTAAAAAGCATCTACATGTGAATGTGCACATAGAGCATAAATAACAAATATGAAAATGGGTTTTGAATAAAACCTTCCCAGATATATAGGGTTTCCTAGGAATACTCTTGATAGGAAGGCAGATGCAGCAGGCTGAAGAGGATTGTATAGAGCCACCAATGCTGGCCCCAAAATCTTGTTGGACCATGTCAAAAGTCCATAGTTAACAGCAGATGCAATAATACCCTGTGAAGGTAATGCAATATTCAGTATGTTCTTATGTATCACAGACTGACAAGATTACAAAGATGCTCAATTGACCAAAACCATAAATCTTGCAAAAATTGAAAAAACAAGGATGTATCAACTTAAATATAAATAGCTCCAAAAGCTAGGAAAAGTTCCTTGCGTACAGTGAGCTTCTTTGAATGGCATTTTTATTCATTAGATTGCCAAAACAATAGCTCCACTACAACAAGGTAATCATTCAACCTCATACAAGTTCACTGAATGATCGAAGTACAGTAGATGTCTCCTATAAGCAGTCTGCTCATTTTCCATAGATATGACATAAAAAGACATGTTGCAAGGCTATTGTAGACATTTTTACAGTTATCAGATGTCAGATTTGGTGAAGAGATGTGTATAATAGAAGAAACAGAAAAAAGGAGATGAACAAAACAAATGCAAGTCCAATTAATTCAGAAGTGATGGCCCTTGGATCTTCCTACATAATCTCAGAACTTTGTTAGAACAAAGAGGGGGCTAAACTAGGGGTATTAAGCGAGCCGACCCAACTCACAAGCCACTTGGGCTTGGCTTGCTAAATACTCGAACTCGGCTCTAAGATTATCGAGTTGAGTTGAGCTTGACTTTTTTTATCAGCAAAGAATTTATTTTTTATTAAAATGAAAGCAGGTTACAAATTCTTTAGCTGCTCTGCTTCAAGGGAGCTACCATCAAAATTCTGCTTCAATTTATTTGGCTCAGGGTTTCCAAGGGAGCTACCATCAAAATTATCCTTCTATTTATTTGCCTCTGGGGGTTTCCATTCTATCTCTATAATTTCTTTATGTGTGCCCATTTGTACCACTTCCTCCCATTTCATCATTATATCATCTGTTAAGATATCTTTGAATGTAACAACAATTTTTACCCAGTATGCATATCTGATTTTAATTGTTTCTATTACTTCCTCTTTAGATATGTTCTCATTGAAAATTCTTTGATTTCTTTCTTCCTAGATGGTCCAAACTACAGCTACTCTTGTGACATTCCATAAGCATTTTGCCCTTTTTTTCTGTAGCCGCAAACAATTAGAACTGAATAAGCTTACCACATTTGTGGGGGGTCCCATCTACAGCCAAAGAGTGAAAAAAAGTAATCCCAAATGCAAGACACAAAAGAGCATGCGATAAGTAAACGAGGAAAGGTCTCACCACTACCAAACAGAGGATACAAACATGACAAGAGAGGCATTTAGCTAGCCTTCTTTTCTATAGCAAGTCGCAGGTATTAACCTTTCCAAGGTACACTTCCCAACAAAGAGTTTGCACTTTGGGAGGGATTGGCTTACACCATATTTCCTTCACTAGGAAATTCTCCCAGAAAGGTTCTAAATGGGTGAGGATGTTGAAGGAGGCACAAGAGAAAAGACCATCCAGGGATGGGAACCAAACTCTACTATCCACAGAATTTTGATCCAAGAAGACCTCTTCCAATTTTGAAAGCAGAAGAACTAGGGATTCACATTCATTATCCCTCAAACCCCTTCTAAAACCAAAGTCACAGTTCAACCCAGGTTCTGATAGTAAGCCAAACCTGGCAACAGGCTCAGCCTTATAGTCTGACAAAGCATAGAGAATAGGTAAATTGTTGTTTAAGGGGAGAATCTCCCAGCCAAAGGTCCTCCCAAAAAAGGACTTTGTTTCCACACCCCACATCACAATGGATAAAGTTAAGGAATGAAGTACCTCAAAGATTGCTCTCCAAGGGGAATTCAAGGCTATCTGAGGTGCTAGTTTTGCATCCCAGCCATTGTCCACTACACCATGGATGCTCCCAAAGAACTTGTGCCATAACCTTTCTCCTTCTAGGGGAAATCTCCAATGCCATTTTCCTAGGAGAGTTGTATTCCTCTTGACCAGATTCCCTAATCCAAGTCCTCCTTGGTCCTTGCCTTAACATACCTGTTCCCACATTTTTTTTTCATTGGAAACGGTAACTATCATTAATTCTTTAAGAAACTTAGTACAACTGTCACCTTCAAAAACCAAGGTGACCCCTCCACAGATTACAAACAGGCCCAAAAAAGGTTCTGCCTACTAACTCCTTGCTTTGCTAAAGTATCAGCCATTGCATTGGCTGATCTCCTACTCCATTTAAACCTGACTTCAAGCTCCCTTGTTAGTTGCATAATCTCCCTTACAGGTTGTCTAAGGGACCAGGCACCTAAGCTGTTTGTTTGCATCTAACCTATTACCAGTTTCGAGTCTTCCTCCACTTCCAACTGCTGAAAACCCAGCTGTTTAGCCAGCTTGAGCCCTTGTAGGAGTGCCAAAACTTCTGCCTTAAGAGAGTCCCCCAGTCCTACCAGGCCAGGACATTTCCTCCCCCATCTCTATAGACACCCCCAATTCCAGAGGGGCCTGGATTACCTATAGAACTGCCATCAAAGATTAACTTAACATCCAAAGATAACAGGGGCGACCAGTCCTCTTGAATGGCTAAAGAGGGGCAGGAAGAAGCTGCTACCGCACTCCACCCTCTAATTAAGTCATCTATAGAGAAGTCCTTGAACATATCCAGCGATTTCAGCCAATGTATGATCTTGATGGTGATCCCTCCTATGACTTCATGTGCTTTCTTTCCCTTGAAAGATTCTGTTATTTCTCTCTTCCCACACTGCCCAAACAACTGCTGCCCTCGTTGCTCTCCACATTACCCTTCCTCTTTTCTTTGACTGACAAAAAAAGCTAGATTCAAAAAGATCCACCACGCTTATAGGAGGAACCCACCTGCACCCAAAGATAGAGGAAAACCAATCCCAAATAAGAGTAACAAAAGGACAAGATATTAGTAGATGATTTACCGTCTCACCACTCTTCAAGCAAAGGCTACAAACATGAGGGGATAAGAACCAATTCACTCTTTTTTTCTGAAGCAAGTCCAAAGTGTTGATTTTTTGGAGAACCACTTCCCAACAAAAAGCCCTCACCTTTGGAGGTACAGGAGCACTCCACACTTCTTTTATAGGAAAAGAGTAAACTAAATTGGAAGAGTACACTAAAGCATTGAAGAAAGAAGAGCATGAAAAACAACCAGAGGACTCTTTAAACCAAATTCTATTATCAGGACAAGAATGATTCAAAAACACTGAATTTAGAAGGGAGAAAAGATCATCTACCAACCCTATTTCTGACTCCCTCAACCCTTTCCTGAACCCTAAATCCCATGCCTCAACCCTCCTGTTCCCACATTACCAAGTGATTTTTCTTTTCATCACCCGGATCCCATAAGAAATCTCATTATTTTTTCTAATTGCCTTGCAACTTTATTGGGATTCTAAAGGTGGATAGGTAGTAGGTGGGTAGGTTGGTTAGAGTGGATCTAATCAAGGTGATTCTTACCCCCACCCCCCATAGAAATGTAGCTCCTCTTCCACATGGCTAACTTCCTAGTAAATCTTTCTATTATGGGTTTCCAAAAACTCTCCGCTTTGGGGCCCCCCCCCAATGGCATGCCAAGATAATCTAGGGGTCAATTTTTTACCACACAGGCACACAATCTAGTGTTCCTGCAAGCAAGTTAGTTTCTTCCTCTCCCAAATTTACTCCTGCCACAACTCTTTTCCCAATTTACTTTTAAGATTGAAACTCTCTGAAAATGATCAACTAGGGGTCTTCAAGTTTCTTAAGCTGGAATACGAACAATCCTCACAAAATGTGATTATGTCATCAGCAAACTGCAAATGGGTCACCACAACCTGATTCCTTCCTACTTGGTTTTCCTAAAGGTTGTACCAAGTAAAGGAGGCTTGTAAAAGGTGTGGTTCTTTTAGCTCTACAGACTCTACCAAGGCATTAAACTTCCTTATACTAGTGGTTATGGTCTGGTTTGGGTTATTTGTTTCATTTGTATATCTTATGACATTGAAGTCTCACCCCAGACACCAAGGTCCCTCCCACAATCCCTTGATTGCTGCAAGTTCCTCCGAAAATAGGTCCCTTTCTCTATGAGTTAGGAACATACACATTTGTTAACACCCATTCACTTACACAACTTATTGTATTGGCTTTTATTGACACTGAATACAGCCTAATTAATTCTTCTATACACTCCACTTCCTCATTCTTCCAAATTGTGAGAATTCCACCAGATGCACCCCAAGAAGGGGCGAACGACCAAGTCAACCCCCTACAATTCCAAATGCTTCTTATCCACCCTCTATCCAGATTTGAGAGTTTTCTTTCTTAAATCATTACAACTTCTAGCTTCTCTTTCCTTAACACATTTCTTATAACTCTCCTCTTTTTAGCACTACCTAATCCCCTCCCATTCCAGCACAAAATCTTCATTTCACTTATTTTGGTAGGTCCTTCTACTTCCACCTCCTAGTCTCCCCCTTTTTTCTCCCTCTTTTTTATTTTCAACCTTTTCATAAGACACCCCACACACTAACTTTTCCACTTCGCTCATTTTCCTCTTCCTCTTTTTATCCACACACTCTTCCTAAGGTAGACTCTACGTTTTGTTTGCACTTTCCCTGGGTTTTCTGGTCTCCACCCCTTCCCCTTAGGTTGCTCTCTAGGAATACTTCCTCTGTCAATGATTTTAATGACCTCCCCCTCCCTCTCTACTAATTCCTGTTTTTCCATTTTATTCTCAGCAGAATTTTCCACCTCAATTAAGGTCTCTAAATTCTGCAAGACTAGATCCATAATCTCCTTTTCCCCTATATCCACACTTCCACTTGCTGCTGGTTTTTCTGGCACACTCTGGTCCAAAATCGCATCATCTGTAGTTTCCAAGACTGGATCTGCACAACCAAAGACAGTAGATTTAGCACAAGGAATAAGAGAATTGGAAAAGGTAGGGGAACAAGGGAAAGCAAGAGAAGAGGAAGGAACTCCCTGAAACAGAAGAAAGAATCCCTGCCCAAAGGCAGACTTTGAAGGGTTGTGTTCCTCTTCAGCAACATCCTAGACCACTAAACGGTTTTGTTCCTCAGTTGATCCTCGGTTTGG